TATAAAATTTAAAAGTTAGTAGAACAAGGTCAAAATACATGATCAATTTGCCTATAGTATTCTCTAAACACAAGAGGAACCAAAAACTTGATCACGCAAACGCACTGGGAATCTGGTCCTATGTCTTGGAGGGAGTATTTAAATACCCATCCGGCGAAAAGAGTATAAAATATTAGATTATATTGATTTTCACATAACTTTTTTAGAAAGAAAAAATGGAGGTCCTTCTGTATTTTTTATTATAGAAAAGCAAATAAGTAATATAAAATATATCATTTATTATAAAATATTTATTAATGAGATCTTTTTATCTTTTTTGCATCGGGTTCGACTGCATTGTGATAGTCAGAAAAACAGTTTTTTAGAGTTGAGTTTTTATGCCGCATTGACGAGTTTCAACATGTTTCTACAATGTGATTCAAACCGTCTGTTCGTTGGCCTCCATCTCGGTTGGTTATTCGTCGTTTAAAAGTACGTGCATCAAGTACCAAAGCTTCCACAACTTCCACATGGAAATCGAATTGATTCATCGGCTTGGACTTTTCATATTTTGCACAAAAAAATTTCAGTTTCCAAGCATTAACCATAGCTGCATCAAAAGCATTCGTTAGCAATGGCCAATACCACTTCTTTCCACGAATTTTAATGCGATAATTGTTCATAGCATTGTCGAACAAGTCTACGCCACCCATGCGATGATTGTACTCGTGAATGAGCAACGGCTGGCGAACAGTAATCATTTTCTTGCCTTTGCGATCATATCTCTTAACATGGCGTAGTGTCTCATGTTTAAGAAAGTTTGGCATAATAGTTACAACCTATCACAAAAGAAATGAATATTATACAACAGAAAAAATTAAACAACTCTATTGTATAGAGAAATTACCGAATTGCCATTCCAGCGTGTAACTAGTACTTCGCTATTTCTATCAAATACGAAATCAGAGCTGCCTCTCGGTCTTTTCTTCATATTATTTGTGCACACCAGAGGATCATAATTAGTTCGATTATCACGCACAGTACCCGTTGCGAAGTACCCATTACACCTCAAGCGACGCATCAGCTTATAACTCGTAAAAAAGTTATCAAACGTCACATTGTGGTTCTCGGGACGTTCGAGATGGGACAATAATTGGAGAACAACGTTTTCTCCAAGGCTATAATCATTACTGAATTTTGTAGCTGCACCAGCATACGGTATGAACTGGTAACAGTAGCCATCGTCCGATGTCAAACACCAGTATTTGTACCCAAATCGGATTGGCTTGCTTTTTATAAACATTTTACACGAATGACGTCCATAATAAGTGATCATCTGCTCATCTATGCTTAAATTGTGGGAGAATACGCCGAACTGCATGAACTTTTTATTCAAGGTATCATTGAGCGGCGATACTTTAGCAAATTTGTCACTCGGCCGAAGGTTTTGGTTATCACAAACGTGTATATATTTCTCGATTTGTTTAAATCTGTCACGGCTCATAGATCTCTTTATATATTCGCAGTCTAGAGATTCCCGATTAGACCAATACGCTGGTATGTTAGGCAAGGTATGATAGCCAGTAATGTACAAAATGCCAAGGAAACTCTTTTCTTCGTCCATTGTTGTCACAAATTCAGGATCATTATTTTGTGCAGCATACTCATTTGTGCTTTCTACAACAAGCATAAGTACCTCATCATCTATGAAGCAATCCCACAACTGAAGTGAAGACAGTGATCTTGAATGCACTCAATAAGTAATAAGTATAAGAAAAACGCGAGGCTACTTACCAAACTTCTCATATAGCTCCTTATGTAAGCTTGCAGTATTATCAAAAGGTTCCTTGCCAAACTTGTAGGTTTGCCCGTGGCTCCACTTTGGGTTTTGTGATTCTCTCTTTATTAACCGACTTCCAAAATAGGAGGAGGTTATCAGTTCGTCGGAATATTTTTTTTTTTTTTTTTTATGTATGTTACCGCATAACTTTGGACCACGTCAACCGATTTCGATAGGGTAGTGTGCATCGGAAAGGTAGTGTCTCAGAGGTGGTCCCATACTAATCTGGTTAAGATCCGATCAGCGCATCATGAGATGTATATATATATATATATATATATATTTTATATATGAGAGTTGAAGTCGGTTTTTTTTGCTAAAAATTACTTGTTTACAATCTGTCGTTTGACAATAAGTAAATGTGATTATATACTTATATATAAGAATGGCGCTGTTGCTGTAATTGCAATTTGTCCATTTAATAGATTAAAGGCATTTCAAAGTTAACATACATACATATGTTATGTAAATTCAAGTAAGTTACTTAACAATTTGATAATTATGTTATTAGAGTTATTTACATGTCAGTTAATGTATTTTGTATATTAAACTTAAGATCTAAAGGGTAAGCCTAGGGGATGCAGCCTTCGCAGTCGGCGCGTCTCTTGACTGTTATTTAATAAGTTTATTGCGTGTATGTTGGGATGGCAGCTTAGTCGGTTAACATAACTCGTACTGTAATTTTTTATCTCGTCCACAATCATAGGTATTTTAAGGTCTTTATGCAAATGAACATTTTTTATATACCACGGAGCGTTCGCAATCAGCCTAAGTNCAAAGAGGTGTTTTATTTGATATATAATACGCGAAGGGATTTTTTATGCAGCATAAAAGATTTGTACCGTTAGCCCGATTTTCAAAAATGCGATGTCAAATTAAAGCGCTTGGCATGTAGATGTGCAAAATGGTTTAATTTTTTGAAAAGAGTTGCCACCTGTTAAAAAACTAAATTCAATTTATTTAATAACCAAGGCCATCAAATCTGCACTGTTCGTTCGATTTTCCAAAACGAGGCGTCAAACTAAAAGCTTTGGACTGTAGATGTGCAATAAGGTTTTACTTTTTGGAAAAGTGTTGCCAGATTATTAAAAAAAATAGATCAATTATTACAAACTGGGCTTCGTTTCTTAGTTGAATTATAGGAGGGTTGCCACCTGTTGAAAAAATTGTATTAGGTAAGAGAAATATGTATCGTCTATGGGTGACTCACGAAAGAAGTTTCAGAAAGTAGTAGGTTGAAAATATTTTGAAGAGGGTCGCCACCTGTTTGAAATGTCGAATTTAGTTTACTTATTCATAAGTTATACGAAATATAAATATATGGATGGCAAACGAAGGAGTCTTAAGAAATCTTTAGTTTGAACGCTAAGAATATTTTTGAGGTGTTGGAAAAGGGTTGCCACATGTTTGAAAATTAAAATACCACTTAATTCATCAGTTAATTAAAATATGTATCGTAGTGTCCGGCGAAGGAGAGTTAACAATAATTAAGCTTGAAAATAATTTTGAAAATGGCTGCCACATGTTTCAATTAACTATTTCAAAAAGTATTTGAAATATAAAAGTACCGTAGTCAAACAAAAGAATGTTAAGAAATCTTTAGCTTAAACATTTCGAATGTTTGAAGAGAGTTGCCGCGTTTTCAAAAAGTTACCTTTACATTAAGGTGGATGAATTTCTTAAAGATGGGTATAAATCGAAATGGGTTTGAAAGGTATTTATTCCTGACCTTTATTTAGGAGGGTTGCCATTTCTTCGAACATGTGTATCACAATAACAGATGAAAGAGATTTTTGTGTTAAGAATACTTTTGAAAAGGAATCTCAAAAATGAGAGGTGAAATTAGAGGCCTTAACCTGTAGATGTATGATAAAGTTTTATTTTTTTAACTAAGAACTTTTTTTTCCGTTATATTATGAATTGAAATTCGATGAAAATAAAAACATGAACTATGCAAGACTGCTCTTCACTCAGAAACGGCTGCACGGTTTAGATGAAATGTGGCACTCGAATCTTTTATAACTCTGACTAACATTTGGAATATTTTTTAAGTTTTTGAAATTCAATTTTGGGCTTATTAACGCCCAGTATCANTTGGAATATTTTTTAAGTTTTTGAAATTCAATTTTGGGCTTATTAACGCCATGCGGGTTCACTAGTATCTTATACTTGATCAAATTCACGTACTTTTTCCAGTGTTTTAAATCACGGTTATGCCATTACATACTTTTGTATCTAAAAACGTCATACCCTAGTAAACAGCTGTTTGTGAAACGCGGGGTTGCCGGACTAGCACTTCATGAGTTCATGAAATGATGCCGAAATTCATGGTTAATTTTCGTGTATACAGTGAAACCTGCTGAAGTCCCCTCTGCTTAAGTACCTAACCCGCTTAAGTAACCAACATTTTTGGGCAATGTGAATTTTTGAATGTGATCTGAAGAAAATCCCTTTCTTAAGTACCTCCCCGCTTATTTACCCAACCCACCTAAGTACCTAAATTTGTCGTACCCCATGTACCTATACCATTTTATCTATAATTTTACCCTTTTAAGTGCTCTTTTAAAAATCCTTGAAATATTTACATATTTTGAAATTCGGGGAAAAAATTATAAAAAATCAACCGAAATAGCTATCACTTCTACCATTTTTGCAAAAAATAAAAATTATTGTTGCCTATCCACAATAGTTTTTCATATAAAAACGACCTCGAGCTCAATAAAAATTGTTGAATAAAAAACCAACGGTAATTTTTAGCCACTTGAAACTTGCACATTATTACACTAAAATTGAATGGGCTATAGGACTGTATACTCAAAAAACACTTCTGAGAAAAAACATTTTAAATTTTGGTGAATTTTTTTCTTTAAGTGTTCTATAAAATTTTAAGCTTAGGTTTATATGGTATTTATTAGGGAATGAGCTGTATTTTAATTGAAAAATCTTAAATAATGCTATGGTCTTGCTTTTAAACTACACTACTACTTCATTAAATGTTCATGTTTTAAATATTCATGGATTTACATATCCATGTAAGTTAACAGTACCCGCATCGAGGTACTTAAGCGGGTTCTTTTAAGTACCCAACCCACCTAAGTACCTCAAAAAGCCGAAATTTTTCGTGAGATACTTAAGCGGGTTTTACTGTAATTAAATTCATGAAATTGTGTTTATGCAGACAACTCTAACCCAAATTCATAAAATGATTTCGTAAATGGACTTATGCATAAACGTTGTATGTGAAAAAGTAGCAGTCGCAATTACATATGGAGAAACTGCGACCAGTTATTTAAGACTAAAATAATATTGATGTTGGTTGATATTAGAATTTCACGCCATTAAAGACGAGTGTGAATGACCAAAACCAACGACGAAAATACCCAAAAATGTAAAGATTCAGATTAAAAAGTTGAAATTTTGTTGAATTTTCCCAAATTTTGTATAAACTTTGAAACTGTGGTATATATGTTTTTTACTACCGGGCTTTCTGCTGCCATTTCTTAGTATTGTATTCTACATAGGAGGTAAACTTCTAAGGTTAGGGTGGGCTCAACGCCACCCCCCCTTTCCCCCCTGCTCCTAGGTAGCGACTTCCATGATTCTATACCATTTCTACGAAAAGTGGTTTTTTCTCATATCAAAACATGGAAAACTATGAGCGCTTTGAGCGACCTCTAAATATTTTTTGATATCAAAATAATAAAACAGGGGTATATTTATTTCGGTATTGAACAATCCTCGTGGGTGAGAGCATAAGCATTCCGACTTTACAAGTTCACATGCATTTTTGGACCACCCTAATATACGGCCACTATGGTGTAGTGGTAAGCAGTGCGCACATCCACTCCGCAGGGCCTGTGTTCAAGCCCTGGTCAAAGCAACATCGCAAAAAATGTAGAAAAAAAGTTTTTTCTTAGCAGCGGTCGCCCCTCGGCAGGCAATAGCAAACCTCTGGGTGTATTTCTGCCATGAAAAACAGCTTCTCATAAAAATACAATCGCCGTTCGGAGTCGGCGTAACACTGCAGGTCCCTCCTCTTTGTGTGACAACAGCAAGGCGCCCGCCACAAATCGGAGGAGAAGCTCGGCCAAAGGCTAACATATGTGTAAGCCAATCTATTATTATTATTATTATTACATACATATGTATATGCATACGTACCTATATAAACACATGATACAAAAAATAAGGTAGTTTCAATAAACAACTTTTTGATTCAGAAGCAGTGTTTTGACAATTGTTCAATTGTTAAAAATTCGAAGCGGCGTTACCCAATTTAAGTTTTTTAGTAGAAGGGATTTTATATCATAAATTTGGGATTATGTATAAAACAGTTTTAATAACATTAACTGTTTAAAAGTAATTAAAATCTTATCTTAAAAATGTTTAAATTTTACACTAAATACGATGACCACTTCCCATGTGGCATCTATATGAACTGACGGACGAAGTCCAAATGTACATTAAGCAGCCTCTGAACCCGTCAGCTCACAGACAGGCCCTGAACGGCATTCACAGGGACGCAATCTCGAGTTATTTAGACTCAAGACCTGTGAATGCCGTTCTAGGCACACAAACACCGGACATTGACGCGACGGAGCTCCATCTGCCTCGGGAGACCAGAACAACAATAGCCCAACTTCGCTCTGGGNGACAACGACTGAGATATCAGCCGATCTGGGCGGGGTTGTTGTAGCCGCTACAACAACAACAACAACCACTTCCCATAGGTTAATTAAATTTTAGTGAACATATACTTATGTCTATGTAGGGGTTTTCAAATTTTTTTGTGTCTTTTTGAAATCTGATTATTTTACAATGTATCTAGCCAGGACTATTACGGTTTTCTATGCCGAATATGATTGTTTCTGATATACACATTTCGGTGTGAATTTAATACATATTTA